GAGGGTGAGGGGTGAAGATATGAATAAATCATTCCCCATTTAATTGTAGTGAGACCGTTTTTGGTAGTGTTTGGATGGTTGTATCATCAGGTGATGAATGTGATATTGATGCGTGCGCAATGAAAATATGCAGGCAAACAATATGGGAACCACAAGCGCATTTGTCCTTGAACAATTGATTTTTATGATAAATCCCATGTAGGCAGTTTTGAAGCTGAGTTTATCCATTGTCATGCACATTATACAAATCTGTGTGTCCAACAGGAGCTGCATGATGTTGAGGGTGAGGCAAAGGCGTGCCACTTCCTGGGTTACGCGCATTACTGTCTGGGTAACTTTCGAGAGGCGGTGCGCTACTACGACCAGGATCTAGCTCTCGCCAAGGACTTGCAGGACAAGATGAATATGGGGCGTGCCTACTGCAACCTTGGTCTTGCACACCTCGCACTCGGCAACTTGGAGACTGCTCTGGAGTGCCAGAAATATTTTCTTGGTTTGTGCTCTAGTTTTATGTTGACAGTGTAATCACAGTTATCATGTAATTGAAATCCAGAATAGTGAATATGCAACATTTTTGCTGTTGTGTATTGTGCCCAAAGTTATTTGAATCAACGCATGAATGCCTACAAGTGTTTCAGATAACTTTCAAGGTTTTCCTTAGGTTTCCACATGTATCCACTAGATTTTCCATGTTTAATCTATTTTTTAAGTAGAACTGATAAATCAAACTTATAAATTACTGTAGGTAGCTATAAAATTTGTGGACACTGATGAAATCATCAGTGTCCATTCTTTCTGCCTCCAAATGCATGTCACGGAGTCTTGCTTATTCTGTGCAGCAATTGCCCACATGACGAAGCACATGCCGGGCAAGTTTCGAGCTCTTGGCAACATTGGGGATGTTCTCATCAAGATGGGTGATGTGGAAGAGGCAGTTAAGATGTACCAGAGGCAGTTATCATTTGCACGCCAGGGGCGAGACCGTTCACTTGAGGCAGCCGCATATGGTGCACTTGGTCTGGGTCACCGGCTACTACGCTGCTATGACAAGGCTTTGGGCTACCACACACAGGCAAGTTTCCAAGCAATGAGTCCCTCATAAATGTTTGAAAGTTCTTTAACCTGAAAGGTGACTTTCCTCTGGGTTGTTACTCCATGTAGGCTGATAGAAATTTACCAACTTTTAGAAGTGCTTCCTGCCTCCATCATCGTCGCCCTGATGATGGATGCAGCAATCACCTGTGAAATGTCAGTAAACTTCTACCAGTCTACATGACATTATAACCCAGAAGAGAGCCATCTTCATATATTTGCTGCCATGAGAACCTGAAATCTATTTTTTTGTCTTTTTTGTTTTTCCATTTTACTCCAGGAGTTGATGTTGCGGCAGGAAATGAGTGACCTGAAGGGTGAATGTTGGGCACACGGGCACTTGGGGGCTGTACATATGTCACTGGGTAATTACACAAATGCCATGAAATGCTACCAGGAGCAGCTTGAGCGAGCCAAGGAGCTGAAAGACAGCGCCGTTGAAGCTCAGGCATTTGGCAACCTGGGCATAGCACGTCTCAACATGGGGCATTACGAGGATGCCATCGGCTACTTGGAGCAGCAGTTGGCAACCCTGGAACAACTTTCCACATCAACAGCCATGCTGGATAAGGTGTGATGAACTGTGTGACTGCGTATAATGCGCATGTGATACGCGCTATTTCGGTTGTACTGTCTGCCATTTTATTTATACTCGTAGTATGTGTTTGTACAGACGGAGGTTAACCAAGTGGAGGATAAAGAGAATTATACATTGAGAAAATTTGTGACTTATACAAAGTTGTTATTATGTTGTTATGATTATGGAGCATGTAGCTTGGATGAAGGAAGGTAGAAATGCATACAGAATTTTGATTTGGATTGGAGATGGATACTATTAAAATGAGTCTTAGGGAAATATGGTGCTAGTGGATAAAAGTGGATCAGAATCAGTTATGAGCTTGGTGATTACTTGTGTTTTATTAGCAGAGTAGTTCATTGAACATCAGTAATTGTCCCTTAAGTTAGTTCTCTAGAATGACTGGAATTTATGAGACACTGTTTTACTCTTCAATTTGGGTTAAGTTACCTTGATTGTGCTGCTTGTGTGTCCAGGGACGAGCGTTCGGCAACCTAGGCGACTGCTACGATGCGCTGGGAGATTTTGATGAGGCTGTGAAGTGTCACGAGCAGCATCTCGCTATAGGCCTGAAGCTGAAAAATGCGCGAGACCAGGAACGTGCGTACCGTGGACTGGGGCACTCCCATCAGTGTCTGGGAAATCTGCAGCAGGCCCTGGTGTGCTTCGAGAAAAGACTTGTTGTTGCTCACGAGCTCAACAATCCTGAGGCAAAGGCGTCTGCCTATGGGGAGCTTGGACGCATCCACAGTATCCTGGGGAGTTTTGAGCAAGCCGTCTCGTGTCTTGAACATCAGCTGTCCATTGCAAGGTTTGGGAGTTATTATGTTCAGCAAACAAAGCCTGTGAAATGCTTCTTTTGTGTCTGTTCCAGTGATGGTTTTAGAATGTTTGTGATTTGGACGTACTGACGCAAATGAGCGCGTAAATGACAGAATTTAAGAGAAGAGCGTTTCTTGGTTTAGCAAGGTGAATAATGAATATTTTTGGGGAACCTATATTTGAATTCTCTTCCATATGCTGCTAAAATAAATGTCTTTTTTTAAGTTTTGTTTCCATTTGGACATTATGAAATGCGATGAAGACAGAATGGTAGTTACATTTTTAATATCCCTGTGACAATTTTTGAAACTATGATTCCTTTGAAGAGACATATGAATTTAACAGGTGTATAATGATGTAGATAAGGACTTAATTTTTTATATTCAGTGGATGTCACAATGCATTTATTGTAATTTACATTTAAGTATAAACAGAATACCAGTTAGTAACTGGGTTTGAAGACACAGTTGCTTTAATAAATAAATTACATTTCAAGTGTAAAATTATTAGTTTCGTGGGAACCAGACTTTGTAGTATATCTGGTTTAATACTTATAAGGTTGGACAACCTGTTGTATGTGGTTTGATGAACTTAACCTTGTGTTTAGGGAACTTAAGGATAAAGTAGCAGAGGCAGATGCAGCATGTGGCCTGGGGGCAGTGTACCAACAGATGGGGGAGTACTCGACAGCCCTTCGTTACCACCAGGCCGACTTGGACACTGCCGAGGAACTCGGGCTGGCAGTACTGCAGGGGCGTGCGTGCGGAAATCTTGGCACTGTCCACGAGTCACTCGGTAATTTTGAAGAAGCAGTGAGATACCAGGAGCAGCACCTGTCAGTTGCTGCTCAGACCAACGACAAGCTGGCCAAGACGATGGCCTACAGCAGTTTAGGTATGTGATGTAGGGCACTGATTCACGTATCTGCATGTTGTGCCCTGCTGGTGGTAGACTGAGCTGCCCCTGCATTTTCCAAGTACTAAATTTATCTGAATGAAAGTCTACTTTTCATCCCAAAATTTCAGAGATAAAAAATTGGGTAATCTTGAATTTGAGTGTGAAATGTATGTCAGATTATTATAAATGCTTTACATTTTTGTTAGGTTAATGTGTTGAATGTAGTATGTAGCAGTCAAGAGATACAGAATCTATCTATTTGTAGCGTAACCCAGTAATGGGTGATTGCTGCCTCCTTTCGGAGGTTTCTTAGTCTTTGAAGCGTGCATTTAAGCGTAGTGAGTGACAAGCCCACTGACTGCCCAATTTCTACTCAATCCTGATTTGACTGCCAGAGCCATCTAACAGTGAATCAGGAGAGACTTGGGTGAGAAATGGCCGCTGAATTTTGCTTACGACACATCTCGTAAGAGATATTTCAAGTTCTGAAGTTGCAAGCTGTGAACCAAAAGTGGTAGAAAGAGACACAGAAAGATAGCATAATTCAGATCATTGGTATCAGTCTTGACAGCACGTCTCTGTCTCATCTTGTTCATTACGTGATGTTGTGCAGGTCGTATTCATCATGCTCTTGGGAACACAAGCCAAGCAGTGGCGTATTTACAGCAAGGCCTTCAGATTGCAGAGCACCTCGGTCGCAGGGAGGAAGAGGCTCGGATTAGACATCGCTTAGGCCTAGCATTGTGGGGCCATGGTGATCTGGATGGATCGCAGGTGCAGCTGGAGCGGGCCGCCAGTCTTCTGGAGTCAGTTCGTAGAGAAGCAAAGGGCTCTAGTGACTACAAGCTCTCCCTCTTCGACCTGCAAACTGCTTCTTACCAGGCATTGCAGGTGTGTCCTTCCTTGATGTTACTGACATACTTTTGTCTCTGTTTTTTTGTGGGGAAGATGATGATTTATGCCTGATTATTAATAACTGTCTGAGCTGTTGTAGTTCATTTAAGAAATAATTGGCTTTCAGTGATCTCAGTGTTATGTTTCCAACATGTAAAGGTTTGTTTAGTTCAATATTCAAATCTATTGCAGTTTCCCCCTGCCACCCCTCAGATAAACTCTAAATTCGAATTTCACTGTACTGTATCTGTGGCTCAGTTGACGAGCCACCGGAATATCTTCACCGTCATGTTGTCTCCTTATAGCGAGTGTTGGTTGGCTTGGGACGGCGTGAAGAAGCACTGCTAGTAGCCGAACGTGGTCGCACAAGAGCATTTGTTGACCTGCTGTTGGAACGGAAGCGGTGCGGAGACTCCGCATCTAACGCGGGACAGCGTTCTACCAACAGGGTGGATGATAACACGCCAACTTCGGTCGACCAGCTGGTGGAGATCGTTAACAGGCAGAAAGCTTCTGTGTTGTACTACAGTCTGGCAGCGGGATATCTCTACTCCTGGTTCATTGTTCCTACTAAGGGTATATAGTACCAACTTCATTAATGTGAAATCACATAAGTCAGAGCAGGTTCACAGAAGACTTCGTTCTTCTCATCTTCCATAACTTTACACTATGAAATCCTCCTTCCAGGAAACTACTCTGTTTATTGTAGTATTAGGCTGATATCATGTTGTGTTCAACTTTTACGTTTTTTGTTGGTTGTACTGGAAGCATTTAGTTGAGCTACTTATATTGAAATAAGCATTTAAAGAAGATGGTAGTATGATCAAACTCTTGCCTGCCACTAATACAAACAGTGTGAGTTGTTCATTAGTTTCTGTTTGTAGAAAACTAAACATGAGCATGTAATATGATTTGCTGTTATTTAGGTGTGGTGAGGTTCCATGAGGTGGCAGTGAATGACATAGAAGCAGAGTGTGAGCAAGAGACTGGCAGCGAGGAAGTGCCCACCACGGCGGGCTCGTTGCTAGAGCATTATATTCACGGTGTACGGGACAGTCTCGGAGTGGAGCTGCACACTGCCACTATGTCCAAGTAAGAAAACTTCACTAACTTGATATCAGATTTGAGGTTCTGACAGCAATGAAGATGTCATTGTTGGTATTCTGGGTTGTAACACTATGCAGACTCGGGTAGATTGTAGCATTTCAGAGAAAGACACTTCCATCCTTGGTTAACATGGTTACCTGTGTAACCACAATCACCCAGAAAACTTGATGAAAGTTCAGAAGTTAAACATTACTAAAGGAATTTTAAACTCGAACACTTTTTTTGGGTTACATTATAGTGGAATATGGCTTTACACTTCCTTGACATAAGTTTCTCCGATGTTTAAGGCAGAGATTCTTCAGTCTGAAGCCAATATTGTGAGTGATAAATGCTGTCTGTTTTTGGTTCAAAATTTTCCTACACTTCATGTTCACTTCATTGTGCCCCCAAAGAAACCTTCATTT